GGGGTGAGCAGCTGTAAGGGGGACAGGATTGGAGACCCTGGTAGAGGGACCTATGGCATGACCTCTGACCCCAGCACAGTGTTTGCTTAACCAGGGCCATCTCAAAAACATCCCATTTATAAAATAATTATTTTTTTGTTTAAAGAGCTTTCAGAAAGACCATGCTCGCTAGTTCTGAGGAGGCTCACTCTATAGTTTTTCCTCATAGCAGTAGAAGGAAATTGTCTCTGCATCAGAATGGGAAGAGCTCCAAGTCTTAATCCTTTTGACAAATAATTAGCAGTCTAATCCTGCCCAGAGAGTAGGCCAGGGTGGGCTTGGGAGAGAGGGAGGAAGAGGTGCAGATGCCAGCATTCTCTCAGGGATCCTCCTCATCAGCTCCTGGCCAGAGCAAGTAGGAAGGTCAGCTGAGGTCCTGCCCATGTCCCCAAGGGCCAGAGTGTGCAGGTGCAGGTTTCTACCTCTGACCAGAGTGCTAGGACAGGTGAGGTAGGCATCTAAGACAGGGCTGCCACAGGCCTGGCACAGTTCTCTGAAGGGCTCAGCTCCTTCTCAGGAGTCTATACTGTGGCTCCTGCTGGCATCAGGGCACACATTTCTGGAGGTGTGGACCAGGCCTCAGGGAGTGGCAGGAATGAGGCCTATCCCCAGACCTGGCACCTCATTCTGCAGCCCCAGAAGTGAGACAAGCACTAAATGCTTGTGCTGCCCTTGCCCCTGCCTTCCCAGAGGACACCCACCCACACATGTGCCTCGGGCCAGCAGTGTGGCCAGGCACAGGCCTTGCGAGGCCTTGGTGACTGCTCTTTGCAGGCATACTGGGCTCAAGGAACATGGGAATGCTTGTGGGAGGGGTCACAGCTGAGGACATTCTCCCACGCTTGGTTGTGGGACAGTGGGACTTCTGGAGCCTCCAGAGGTGCCGGCCCGCAAACTCCTCCCAGAGTCTGTCAGGCTTTGGTTCAAGAGGCCCCACACAGAGCATCAGTGACTGCAGGCTGGAGGACTGCATCACAGGGTCACAGGGTCCCCGTCATCAGAGCTCAGCCTTAGCGGCATCCCTGGACAGGCAACTTCCCTCCTGTGTTACAGCACAGAACCTGTGACATGCCCAGGTGCAGCAGAACTGGGACTTGGTCTGGGGCTTCCACCTCCTCGGCCAGTATCTTTTTACTCTGGGTGACATCAAAGTACAGGGTTTGTCTTAGAATAGCTCCTCAGAGTGGCAGGATATTGGAGGGCCACTGAATATAAGCTTTCCAGTCTCACACTGTCCTGTTATACTTTGGGTCTTGCACCATGACTGTCCCCTGGGATGAAGACACACCCATGAGTGCACACACACGCACGTGTGCACAAACACACACATGCACACATCCTAGTTGGGAGGAGCTAGGCACCTGCATGCCCTGCTGTAGCACATTGCTCCCTCTCCAGGCCTGTTTCACTCAGAGGACAGCTTTGCTGTGGGTGGTTTGGGATTGAGATGCCTAGTTCTGGCTCCTCTGCAGCTGTGAGGACTCAAGTGACCAGGTTCCAGGTGTGAGCAGGCACTATGTGGCTGGCGCTGAGCAGGGTAGTGAGGAAGGCAGGCAGGGCCCTGTGCTGGGGGTGTGCACCTCCCAGGTAGGACACAGAGCACCACCTATAGCAAGGACTGGCAACAGACTGATTCCAGAGTGTCATTTTTTAAATGCTTAATAGGAACTTATCTTCATCATTAAACTCTTTAAGCATGTATTCATGGAAAGAGAGAGTAATGAAGCGCTAACTGAATGTAGTCCTCAGCACCAGAGAAAGCCAAGATGGACTTCACTTAGGGGCTTCTTGATGGGGGCTTTTTTTTTTTTGAGACAGGGTCTCACTGTTAGCCCAGGCTGGCCTTGAACTCACTATGTAGCCCAAGCCATCCTCAAACTCATGGCAACCCTCCAGCCTCGGCCTCCTGAGTGCTAGAATGATAGGTATGTGCTCCCACACATGGCTAGAGTTGTGGTTTTTTAAAAGACCTCAAAATCCTTTATTCAAATGGAATTTTAGACGTGTCCTGTATGTAAGACAGGTGAGGAGGGGCTGGGCTACTGGAAGGGGTAAGGAGCTAGATTTGGCCATGCTACCCTACGCCCACTGCCAGCCACCCTGCCCTATCCAGGAAGCAGCGTTCTGCAGCCGCAGCTCTGACTTCCTGATTGTTCCTGCCTGTGCAGGCTCAGTGTAACCCCCGAGCATGTGGGCAGGAAGGGAGGGGAGGGGAACCTGAGTCCTCACAGTGCTGAGTCTGGTTCTTGTAGAAGAAACTGAAGCACTTGCCATCCTCTGTGTGAGCAGGGAAAGCTCAAGAGTGAATCCAAGGCAAGCCAACAGGCGTGCAAATGGCCACATCCACACATGGTGACAGCTGACCTGAATATGTACAGCCCTTGAGGGGACACAGAGAGAGTCAGAGGGTGACCTCTGCTTAGGAGCTGGCCGGATGTCTGAGGGGGAAGAATGAGTCCCAGCAGAGCCCACAACACAGAGCAGAGCAGAGCCAAGTCCCAGATCCTGGGCTGAGGCTCAGAGAGGTTCTGAGTCCTCCAGCCCAAGGTCGTGGAGGGCAGCACAGGTGGAAGGTAGAGTGCACTGAGCACTGGGACTGCTGCATGGACAGTAGACAAGGGCCCTGGAGGATGATCCTTGTGAGGTGCTCAGCCCTAGACCAAAGAAGCACCTCAGTTGGAGCCCAGATCCAGGAGTGGGAATCAGACCAGAGTGACTATTGGAGCACTCGTCCTGTCCAGAGAGGATGTGGTTGGGCTGAGAAATTCCACTCAGGGCCACTCATGCCAGTGGAATGTCAGCAGCCTCAAGGATGCAGCTTGCTTTGATAGAAGCTGCTGGGACACCAGCTCAGCCTTCTGTTCCAGACATGTGGTATGGTCAGGTCTGCCAGGGATCATCCTGGCTCTCAGGGACACCAGGGCAGCAGTAGGGAGGGGCTCAAGCCCATAGGAGCTGCTGAGGAGGAGGCAGGTCTGCAGAGAGCCAGGAATGTTGCAGGGCTGGTCTACTCAGTAGACTGACCCCACCCAGTGCTGGTCAGGTTAGTCACCTGTCCAGGGACTCTGCTGCCCTTGGTCTAGGCTTCCTGGCCTCATCAGCTCCCTCTGCTTTGACCTCATTCCCCTCCACAGCCCCTCCACTCTCCCCTTCTGCCAGCCAGAGCCCACCCACCCTCTTCTCCATCACACGCCTCAGTGAGACCCCACATCTCTTCTTTCTAGCACCAAGTCTGATCCAAAAATACAGCCCTTGATTCTCTAGGCAACTTGACATTTATAGCACTGTGGTTGTTACCTTGAAGACAGAAATTGTGTCTTCGTTTTCCTGAGAGCAGCAATACCTAATGGAGCACTGGACCCTTCAAGAATCCGGGAAAAGACGTTGGGACTACAGAGCCAGTCCTCCTGCACAGCCACACTGTGGGGACCCTGCTTTCTGCCTTCGGGGCCTCAGAGGCCAACTGTTGGTCATGTGTGGATGGTCATGAAGGGTGGGTTTCAAGTCTAGCTTAGGGGCCGGGGATTTAGCTCAGTGGTTTTGCCACCTGCCTTGCAAGTGCAAGGACCTGAGTTCGATTCCCCAGTACCAAAAAAAAAAAAAGCAAGTCAGGTTTGGGGAGGGATGAAAATGGAAAGCAGACGCCATGTATGTGGGTGATGTCATTCTCTCCCAATAAGTCACAATCTTAGGAGTGAAAAGAAAGGCACAAAGTAAGACCTGGAGGCCCAGGTGTCACACAGAGGAAAGGGAGGCCCAACTCCAGCTGAGGAGGTGACGGGAGCAGCTCCCTTCTGCAGCCTGGGCAGTCTGGGGCTGGGACCTTGATGCAGGAGGCTTGTGTTAGCTGCATTTCTGCATAGGCAGTAACCATGTTCAGGCCTCACCACCAAGTTGGTTCCCTCAGCAGCAGTGCTGCACATAGGAGGGTCTCGCTGCTGACCACTCCACAAGAGGCAGCCACAGCCTTGCGTGGGCTGTATTCTCCCCAGACTAGTATTTCCATATAGAAAACTGCAGCTTCAGGGACCCTTCTCCAGCACTCCCAGACCTCCCCAACATCCAAAGGGCTAACACTTGCCCCAGTAGGATCTCCAGCCTCTACCCCACCCAGTTCTTGGTGAGCAAGTGTTCTGATGGGGCTGGGTTGAATGTTTTGGCTCTCCTTGCTAGATCTCTGGCTGCCCTCATGGTCCTCCACTCACCCACTGTAAGGGCCATGTCCTACGCCCATCCTGACTCAGAATATTGGCATTTGAAGGTGAAGGTCTGAAGCTATTCTCATGGTACAGCAACTGTCCCTAAGTGGAGATTGAATAGGATTTCATGTCACTTTAATCCTCTTATCCAAGGGAGCTGGCTATCATCTTAGGAAATTCAAGGAAAAACTTTAATAGAGTGTAACAGGACCATTTGAGTGAATTCAGGGTCAGCCAGCAAAATCTGCAGTTCCATTTAGATGCTAGTCAGCACCAACTGTGTGCTGGCAAGGCAGAAAGCAGAATTCTGCCCTTGAGATGGCCTTGATACCACCTATAGCCTTCCTGATTCAAAGATATGTTCTAGATACATCTTACCAAGACCCCATCCTGGTCCCTATTGCCCAGAAGTACAAAGCACTGCTGTGTGCCCAGGGCCCATGTGGCCAAGGGAGTGGAGAGGCAGAGCCAGCCAGGAATCACATTTGAATGTGCTTGAGAGGGTGGGCAGGGCGGTATATGATCAGGGGACAGTGGTGTGAACAGGACAGGCACTGAGAAATGCAGAAGAGCACCTCATGCTTTACCTGTGAAGATGGAGAGAAACTGAGGCATGGGATGAAAACAAGTGGTCTGAAGGTTCAGCAGAGGTACTCACAGACCCTCTGCCTTCTGCGGGCTGCTGGGGTGGACAGAATCTGGCAGGGGAGACCCACCCTGGAGGAAGCCTTGGGCCTGCTGACTGCTGCTGTCTCTCTGCAGCCTCATGTTCACCAAGGTGAAGCTGCAGCAGGTGTTGAAAGGCCCAGAGGAAGCCCTCGTGACCTGCAGACAAATGCTACAGCTGTGGCAGACTCTGTACAGCTTCTCCCAGCTTGGGTGAGTGGCTCATTGTCCCTGGGGTTGTGAGGGTGGAAAGAAGGTCTGCAGGCAGTGGTTGCCAGGGTAACAGTCCTCGGCAGAGTGGCCACAGCACCTGGTAAGGTAGGGACAGTGAGGACATTTGGAGGAGATGATGGAACTTGGAGTTCACATGATCCAGTTTTAATTTCTTGACAGCCTTCTAGGATACATGTGAAGACGTGTAGGAAACTCAGAGTGCTACGAAGGTAGAGAAAACTATCACTGAGTACCTGAGGCAGGTCCTAAGCTTGTCACTGTATCTGGCGAGTCATCCACTTATAATCTCACACATTAACTGATTTTATCAGCAAAGAAAGGAAACTGATTCAGAGTTACTTAGCTGCTAAGTGATACCAGTGTTCCTGGGACTTGAACCTGGGCCTCTCGAGTCCCAGCTGTGGAGACTGTCACTTCTTTCCTGGATCTGCCTGGTAGCTGGAAGAGGAGGTGAGGTCCTGAGGAGCAGGGCACACATGTCCCGCTGAATCTACAGGAAGTCTGTTCAAGCCCACGGGACATTTGGGTTCAGCCTTTGCAGCCCAAAGGGACAGGGACCTCATGAGGGGCAGGGCATTGTCTCTACCTGGACCTCTGGCCCCACCCTCACTTTCTCCAGGACCGCTGGCTGTGGCATCCCCTTAGGCATCAGGGGGCCCCTCCCATGGTGTTTGCATTTTCAGAGGGACATAGGTGGCCCAGAAGGCCTCCATACTCCCCAGAGAAACATCTGTGCTGATGGAACAGAGGATTGTGTCACAGGGATGTGGGACACAATGAAACTCGAGGACAGGGTTAGCCCTCCCTTCATGGCCTTGGGGCCAGGAGAGCAGAACAGGACCAGCAGTGGAAGCTACCAGATGTAGGCTACGGAGTGGGGGCTTTTCAGAAAAGTGAGGGGAGGAGGCTGATATGAGAGCAGGGCTCTTCTCTTGTGAGAGGACCTGTGTTCACCTGCCTTCCTGCCCCAGAGCTGGCTGCTTCTTGTCTGTGTCCTCTCTAGGATGGCTCATGCCTGCCCACCCAGGTGGCTGCTCTTGGTGGGGCCATTCAGAGCCATAGCCAGGGCCCGTTTTAGGCCTGGCCTGTATCTCCAAGCCATAGGCTGCTGGGTACTCTCTCAGGGTGTGGGGCCAGTGGAGTTTGCCTCAAGGTTGCTTCACACCACCTCACCTACACCATCTCTGACCTGAGAGCTGGGTGGGGCGTATCACACCCACAAGCCCCTCAGCCCCTCTCCCAAGAAACTCCCCACAGCACCCCCACCCAGAGCAAGGTGGCTTCCTGGACCAGAAGCTGGATATGGGCACCTCCTGGCCTTCCCAGGAGAGAGGAACATTCATTTTTGCCTTGGTACCACAGATCAGAAACCAAGGCTTGGGGACCAGGGATTTAGCCCAGTGGTTCCACTGCCTTCTTTGAAAGTGTAAAGACTATAGTTCAATCCCCGATACCGGGAAGAAAAAAAAAAAAGAAAGAAAGAAACCAAGACTTATTATAACATACTTTGGGGCAACCTGGAATCGGGACCAGAATCCACAGCCCCAGAGTCTGGCCTACTCCCACCCTACCCAGCCAGCCTACCCCACCTCTCACCAGGCTCCCTGGCATCCCCCCTACCTCTCCTCTGTCAGGGCCATACAGCTGGCCCAATGTCCCCATCACCCCAACCCCAGGTCCCTGCTTCATGAACCCACCATCTACCCAGCCTCAGCTGCTTGGGCTTAGCCTCTCCTTAGAGGTATTTGCTACTTGCTCAACTCAAAATATCTCCTTTCTTCATCTGAGTTTAAGGCTTCTCATGCTAGTTATGGGCCTAGAACTATGTTGCAAGTAGTCCCCAAGGTGGACTATTCTGGAGCCCTAAGAGAGGCCCCTTCCAGGGATGGGAGAGAAAGCTGGAGATAGGAAATATCTATGGGTCAAGCACCTGGACAAGAAGGCAGCACTGTGCTAGGCCCCTGCCCAAGCTCTCAAGTTACTTTTATGACAGCCTTGGGAGATGGAGATTGATATGCTTGTTTTTAGGAGAGAAAGGTCATGAGAAAGGTCAGGTACCTTTGCTGAAAGTCACATAGCCAAGAAGGAGTAGCACTGTGATTTTAACCTAGTGTCTCCATGCACATCACCTGGGTGCCTACTGGGAGTAGGAAGAGGGTGGGAGAGGAAGGGAACCACCCAAGCCACTGCTTTGGTTGGTAGTTTTCTCTGATGCCTACTAAGATGCATCTGCACCCATGGGCTCAGCTTGGAAACAGTGTGAGCCTGAATTGGGATGGCAAAGGCACCTTGGTTCCTGGCATTATTTGCAGGACCATGCCCTTGGCCCCCTCGGAAGGAAGGAAAACATCACAGGCCCCTCCTCTCTAGTCTTTTCTCTAAGTTACTTGCAGGTCCAGGGCAGCAAGCATCCTTGTCGGTGGGAAGGGGCTGTCTGGGGCTGCCTGTCCGTGGAAATAATGTAACAACTCTGCTGCCTTCCTTAACTGGTGGCATCTGGCTGCACCCACCCCACCTCTACTCTGAGAACAGAGTGTGGAACTGCAAGGACCTGAGGAATTGGGTGGAGGCAAGGTGGGGTCGCTGTGCTTCTTAATCTGCCACACCAGGGTCCCACTGGCCCTCCTGGGTCCCCTGGCAGTTGAAGGTAGGGGATCCTGTGGCAGGGAATGGCACTGCTTCCCTGGGTGGGCTGGGGTACTTCTGTGTCCTTCGAATGCCAGGCTTTCCCTGGAAGCCAGTTCAGAGTCCCCACGCTCTGCCTGGCACTTGGCTAGACATTGAGAGGGTAGCAGTTGAAAGGCTAAGGCCTCGCCCTGGCCTGGGGCAGTGTCTCACCCCACCTGGTCTAGGTGGAGGGCGATTCAGTCTGGGAAAATCTCCACTCCAGCCCTGCTTCTCTGGTTGTCTCGGTCCTTCCGAGTTGTCTTGACTTGGACCTGGATTCTCAGCACCAGGGCCTGTTTGGTGTGAGGCTCCCTCATTCTCCTGCTAGCCCACTCTCTCACCAACCCTGCCCTTTTCTGCCTTCCAGAGGCCTGGAAAAAGATAGCAGCTTGGGTGAGGGGCTCACCATGAAGAAACAGAGTGGCATGCACCTGACCCTGCCTGATGCCCATGATGCTGACTCCGGTAAGAATGTGCCCTGCAGGCCACTGTTGGTGTGGGCCCACAGCTTGCCCATACCTGGGTACCACATGGAGGGTGGTATCTGCCCACCCTGACCAAACCCCCTGCTTCTCCTTGCCACCACTGCCCAAGGGCCTTGATGCTGTGGTGCTGCCCTCGGACACCTGTCAGGTAGCCCTGGGGTGGGTGGTGGGCAAGTGGAATGAGGGAGGGAGGGACCCTACCCCAGGGTGAGGGAAAGAGAGGAGACTAGGGTGTCAGGGTGTCCTGGAGCAGAGACAGTTTCCCCTTAGGCCTGTGCCAGAGGCCAGAGACTACCTAATGCCACACAGATGAGTCCAATGGAAAGGAATGGGCTGAGCTCTTTGCATTGCTAAGCTCAAAGCTGACTCTTCCTGGAAAACTTACCCTGAAAACCAAGACTTGTGAAATTCAAATGAATCCAGGAACACAAACTTACATTAAGCTGAAGACCTGATTAAAGCAAAACACCTTCTTCAAAGACACAAGAATGACTCATGCAAACAAAAGTGTGAGTGGAGTTGTGCTTAGTGGAGTTGCTCCTTTTCTTATTTCTGTGGACGCGAGCCAAGTTGCAAGTGATGGAGTTGATTCCAGCAGCCATCTTAGCCCCTGACCCTCGGTCCCATCCCAGGGTGCTGGGCTGCATGTGGATCTGCTGTCTCCAAGCAGGGAATGGTTAGGGGAAGGGTAGCTCCTTGCCTTTAGAGGGGAGGATCGTGTGCATAGTTCTTAGGACTCCATGTCTGAAATCTGAAATCATCTGTGGTTTACCCTGAGGTCTCCTGAGTTTATTGGAACCTTTACTGCCTCTGAGGGCAAGAGATAAGGTGCTCCATTTCACCTGTATGGGAATTACAAATGTCCAGTTTATGTATTCCAAGTAGAGGACCATGCCACCCACAAGTGCCCTGGGAGAGGTTTTCTGAGGGCACAGGTCTCACTTGAGCCACTGCCTAAGAACTCTTCACTTCACAGCCTCCCATGGTTCCTTTGCACATGGAGACCAATGTGCACTTGTGAAAACAGGAAGTAAAAACAGCAAAAGGAGAAAGGGAATTTCACTACCCAGACCTTAACAAATGGTGCTTCAGACTCTTCTATGCATGCCCCCACTTACTGTTTGTGAAAATGTGATCATATTCCTTTGTAACTTGCTGGTTTGTTCCCACCTGTACAGCGAGAGCATCCTTCCACACCATGTGTTTGCAGTATTACTGTAACACCTCCAGTGTCTCAGATGATTATACCTTTGCTTATTTTTAATTATCAGTATTATAGGGAGGAGTTGAATGAGCCTTTTGGCTGATATTTGTGGCTGTTTTCCTTAGGGATATGTTCCCATGAGATTTCTGCCTGCTTGCCCCTTATGAAGCCTCCTCTGCAGCTGTGGGGGAATGTAGGCAGTGGACCCTCCTTTGTGAGTCTGTGAGCTGTTTGCCAGCTGCCAGACCCTGCCACCCTGCCTTGGCCCTGGTGCCCTGTCTGTCCTTGCAGAGCTGGCATCCTAACCCTGCTGCTCAGCTCTGAACCTGCTTGCTCTGCAGGCTCTCACCGGGCATCATCCATCGCAGCTTCACGGCTGGAGGAGGCCATGTCAGAGCTGACCATGCCCACGTCGGTCTTGAAGCAGGGCCCCATGCAGCTGTGGACCACGCTGGAACAGATCTGGCTCCAGGCTGGTGAGTGTGTACCGGTGGCTGCCAGGCCTGCCCTGGAACAGGGGAGTAGTGAGGTGGTATAGAGCACTTTGGGATCAGGAGCCTGGCACAGGTTCTAATTTCAGCTCTTCTTTGCTGGCCTCAAGCAAGTCACCTAGTATGTCTGGTTCTAGGCTTTCTTCTTGGTAGCAAACATAACTGGGAGAGTTTGAAGTCAGGACTGTCTGGGTGGGTCAGGGGACTGACAGCAAGTCCCTCGCGATCACCAGCTGGCACTCCTGCCCCTGTGGAGCCCACAGGCTGGGGAGTACCAAGAGGCTGGTATCAGGAAGCCCGGACTCTGGTGTCACACAGACTGGCCAGCCCTGATTGAGGGTGCTGATGTGCAGAGTAGCCAGTGTGGCATGTAGCAGGTGCTCCCCAGGGACACAGGCAGAGCGTCCTCATGTCAGCTTGGGAGGGACTTGCTGCAGAGTGTTTGACAACTGGATGATGGTACCGAAGGTAGATTAGAGTAAAAAGAGAGAAAATTGGGGCCAAAGATGTTTAGTGTCTGAATAAAACAAATGACAGCAACAGAATGGAGAGGAAATGAGGCATCATGTGGAAGGCTGAGCCTCATCAGACCGGCCTGCCTGGCTCTAGAGCTACCTGAGGGTGCTGTCCTCATCTTTGTCTTGCTCACCCTCCTGCTTCTCCCCACCGTAGGAGGAGCCGGAGGAGAAAGTAGATGGTGGGACAGGCTGTAGAAGGTGCTTGTTAGCTCAGTTCTGAGTCCTCCCCTCATGTGTTTTGCACATATGGCCACATTAGTATGCAGCACGCCCCTGCACTCCCCATTGCAGGTTCTGAATGTGGAAAAAAAGTTGGGTCAGGATCCACAGAAAGGCTAGATTTAGGAGCATTTTCATAATGCAAATATTGCCCCACTTAGCATCTCAGGTCCCTCAGGATGCCGGGTAGGTAGGGATGGGCTCCACAGCTTGTGGATCTTAAGTAGGAGGAGGAATAGTGAAGAATCCAGAGGACAATAAACAAACCTGCTCCTAGGCAAAGATTCCCCTGCCATCTCCCAAGACGTGGAGTCATATGGACTCTCCTCTCTTGGGGGCGGAATGGAGCCCTGGCCCCGACATGTATGCATGGTGTGGGGCACAGAATCCATGCGGGGCCTCTGCACCTCCCAAGGCCTTTTGTTTTCTGATTTGCTGTGTTCACCACCATGGGCACATCCCAAGCCCGCTTGCATTTCTGCTCGCTCGCTCAGGGTGCTGGCCTGTGCTGCGGTCGTGTGAAAGGCTGGGACCCGTCAACATAAACATGACCCACAGTAAGATGCATACTGACGTTTCTTCTCTGGACATTGTCCCGGATGTCAGTCCAGTGAATGCTGTGAAGCTTGTGCCACATGAGAGCCAGGCAGGGTAGTGTAGGAGATGATCTGGGTGCAGGTAGCAGACCCAGGATTGCAGGGGCCCACACAGGGTACATGCTTATTCCTTTCTCATATAACAGTTTGGACATGACAGCCTCAACTGGAGTGACAGCTCTGCTGTCCCTAGAGTGTTTCTCTCATCTGTGCGATCCAGGGTGACTTCACGGCACAATCACATTCCAGTGTGTATGATAAATGTGGAGGAAGTGAGGAGCATTCCCTCCTGTACGGACATATCCTGGAACTTACACGGATTGCTGCCCCTTGGGATCATTGGTCAGAGCTCCATTATTACCCCAAACTGCAAAGAACTCAGACAGATGTTATTATTCTGGGTGTTCATATACCTTTTTTTTGAGACAAGGCCTTGCTGTATAGTTCTGACTGGCCTTGAACTCACTTTGTATCCCAGGCTGATTTCAAACTCATAGTGATCCTCCTGCCTCCTGCTGGCATCATAGCCAATGCGTCACCACATCCAACTTCATGAGCCCCATTAAAAATCAAGGGATGGGTCTGGGGGTGTAGCTCAGTGCCACCTGCCTCAAAAGTGCAAGGACCTGAGTTGGATCCCCGGGTTCTGACTGGCCTTGAACTCACTTTGTATCCCAGGCTGATTTCAAACTCATAGTGATCCTCCTGCCTCCTGCTGGCATCATAGCCAATGCGTCACCACATCCAACTTCATGAGCCCCATTAAAAATCAAGGGATGGGTCTGGGGGTGTAGCTCAGTGCCACCTGCCTCAAAAGTGCAAGGACCTGAGTTGGATCCCCGGGGTAATATCAAGGGATCGGACTGGGGATTTAGCTCAGTGGTGCCACCACCTGCCTCAAAAGCACAAGGTCCCGAATTTGATCCCGCTACAAAAAAAAAGAAAAAAAGCAAGGGATCGATGCACATGGTGACACCTGTCTGAAATCCCAGCTACTCAGGAGGCTGAGGCAGGAGGATTGCAAGTTTGAGCACAGCCTCACAACTTAGCAGGACCATGTTTTAAAATTTGAAAAGGGGCTGTGGATGCAGCTCAGTGATAAAGTGCTTTCCTAGCAAGTACAAAGCCTTGGGTTTCATAATGCCACCAAAAAAAAAAAAAAGAAAAAAGAAAATCAGAAGGGCAGTAGACTGCTGCATAGTGGCTGTTCACTGTGAAAATTCAAGGACTTTGGGGGCAGTCTGCACCATATGGACTCTCCCTTCCCCTGGATGACATTAGCTTCAGCATCTACTGAGCACCTGCTGGGAAAGGGCAGCCAGGAGCAGGTTACCAAGGCTGTAACTTCTCCCTAACCTGCCTGCCTAAGGCGGGCTAAGCACGTTGTCCTCAGCATCCCCAGCCCATCCCCACTAATGGTTCCACCAGCTGCCACAAATTTATAGGACGGGAAAGAGATACCTAATCATTTTGGAATGAGGTAACCCCCCTAGTTTGGTTCAAGATAAAATTGCAGCCCAGTCCATTTTGGCAAAAAGTTCCATCATGAAGCCACTCTGGATGGGAAATGTCACCTCCCTCCTCTCCCAGATCTGGCCCTCCTCCCACCCCACCCCAGCCCTCTGTACAGGCCCCAGGCAGGGAGAGAGGCCTGAGGGGTCCTGCCCATACAGTGGGGCTGTGAGATGGGAGTAGCACCAAGCCCCGAGGGTGCTCCAGGGTCCAGAGAGGTGCTTTGTGCCAGAGTAAGAGTGCTCCATGCCCTGCTCTGGAGCTGACAGTGCCAGAGAGGGGGAGATGGACTGAGGGAGCAGCTCGGGACCGTGCTTGTGAGAAGCTGGCCTGAGTCTCAGTAATCCAGTGCTGCCTGGACAGTGGCACCCTAGTTGTTTGGGTGCCCGACCTGCAGGTGCAGTCCACCCAGCTGTGGGCTCTGCACACTGGGCAGCTGTGGCAGAAGCTGGTGTTTATTACAAAATTAGTTGAGGGAGAAGCAGGTTCTCACCTTGGTCCTGCCTGCTCTCCTTTTGTCCCTCTTTGCTCTCTATTCTTGTCTTTGTTTTTCTTCACTATCCCCACTTTTCTAGCCCCCACCCCTGCCTTCAGTGCCTTCTCCCAAATCCTCCTCTTCTCTTGCTCTGATTTTTCCTCCTCTTCCTCCCAGTCTCCCCTCTCTGCAGGAAGTCATGCCAGGCCCTCAAGGCCCCTGGCCCCCAACCTCCTCAAGCTGTCTGTGCCCCAGGGCTGAAGGGCTGAAGTCAACCTCTGGATTCTCTGTGTGGCTCTCCTGGTCTTTCTCTTTCCTACCCACTGAGTCTTCTCTCATTCCTTCCTCCCTTCCCTGTCCTTTATTCTGGGTGTCCATATGTCCACATGGTCTATTCCAGGTGGGGTCAGGGATCCTTATTTCCTTTGGGGCCACTGAAACCGCCCACACTGGTGGTCAATGTTAGCCAAAGTGCATTCCTTTTAGGACTTAACATATTTCTCTCTTGCCCTGGGCATCTCTGAACCCTAAATCGACATGACTCCCTCTCTTTTCTTTCTTCTGTTTTCTCCTTCCCTTCTCTGACGTCTTGGAGCAAAGTCTCTGTAAGAAGCACACCTCGCCTGGAGAGGACCTGAGCCCCATGCCTCTGGGCCTGGGTGAGGCCCATTCCCTGGCCAGGGTTGAGAGTCTGGGCTCTGGCAAGAATGGCAGGCAGACTGGAACCAGCTCTGGGTGCAGAGTTAGAACAGGATGCCTCAGAGAAAAGTAATAAAAGGGATTCTTGCGAAGCTCCAGGGAGCAGATGTTTTCCATTTGTAGCCTGCGGAGAGAAAGCACAGAGGGAAGGAGGGGGTGGGGAAAGAGATCTAAGAGGAAGAAAACCTATCAGAGAAGGCAAAACAAGAGAGGACGCTGAGAGATAGAAAGGAGGGTGGGGGGACCAGACAGAAAGGAGGGGAGAAGCAGAGTAAAGGGGCCAAGGTCTGGGAGGGTCTTGTCCCTGGGGTGATGGACAGGGAAAATAGTAGCAGTGGGTATTCAGCCAGCCCTGGCTAGGGGAGGCCAGGATGGGTGTGGGCAGTCCTGGGCCAGGTTCCAGGCTGGGAAGGGAAGGTCCAGGCAGCATGGGCGGGGTGCCATGGCCTCCTCCTGCAGCCCTGGCTGACTGGCTGTAAGCACCATGTTTGGTAAAACAGTGCGTAGGAGCTGGGGCATCTGCCCAGGGACACTGAGGCCAGGAAGTGTGGACACACTTCAGGCCCCAGACCTGTGGGTCTTTGTGTGGGTTCAGGCCCCCACACTGCAGGCTGGACCTGTGCAGCTGTGTGCAGTGTGGCCAGAGCCCTTGGGGAGACCTCTCGTCCCTGGCTCTGCTCAGTGTCATCTGGCTTCCTGCCTAAGTGGTGACAAAGCAGCCCTCCCTGTCCTTGGGGCACATTCCCTGGTGTGTGCCCCCTCAAGCCCAGGGCCCACCTCTCCCTCCTATTGAAATCTGTTGTGTGGGTGCGCCATAAGGAGTCCCCAAGGGAGGGACCAGGAACAGACCTCTGAGGGCTCAGGAGACAGGGAAGCAAGCTGTAAACAGCCTAACGAGCTGTGCCATGGCCAAATGGGCCCAGCCTGAGGTCTGGGCATGGAAAGCCTGAGCTCTGGGCCCTCAGCCGAGCTGAGCTCCTGCCAAAGGAGTATGCAGCCTCAGGCACTGGTGTGGGGACAGCCTCCCCACCCCAATACTCATTGTCCACAGGCCTCCTTCTGCCTCTCCCTCCTTCTCTTGTGACCCTGGGGAATCTGCCACAATGGTGTGCGTTCTCCCTGCTGTGCAGGTGCTTCCTCCAGAAAGCTCTCCTTACCATACTGACCTGACGCTTGAGTGCCTGTGACACCCAGCGTTGGCACCTGTCATGGTTTAGTGGCTCAGCCACCCCCACTACCTTTCCTGTTCTTGTTCTCTTGAGAGGACCAGGCACACAGAAAATAGCTGTCCACTAGACTCTCAGTTACCAAGGTGGCTTGTTCAGAGCTCCCAGCTGCAGCTCAACAGCAGAGCAGGGGAGGAAACCTAAGACAGAAAGAGCTAAATCCCTAGCCCTTGGGCCAGACCCTAGCTAGGCTCTGGGCTCAAAGCCCATCCCCTGGCCTCGCTTCACTATGCTGTCTACCCTGACAGTCTCCTTCTCGGCCTATCTCTGAGAATGAGAATCCACCCCAGCCTCCATTGCCCACTTCTCATGGAGCCTGAGTCTCCCGAGTTCTCATCTCCAGCCTGCCCTGGCTTCCTAACCCTCTGTCACATTTTTGGACATGGCGAGCTGCTCGGATTGCACCCTGAGCTGCAGTCAGTGTTCATGCCTTGGACCCCAAGTGTCATGTGTTACAGTGAGGCCTTTGTCTCCTTTCTGAGGCCGACTGGGACAGGGAGGGGTGCCTGGGCCTGGTTTGTCCACCTCTTCCAGGAGTTCCTCTGGGGGCTATTTGTTAGATACCCAACCCCAGACATAATCTGAATGGTGTTACCTCAGCTCTCGGCCCTTGCTAGGAAGAGCTCTTGGCTGCTCCACAGCCCCACTCTGCTTGTCTCCCGCGCTCCCATCTGTGTTGCCAGCATTCTGTGACTTCCGCATGGGCACCAGCTCCAGGACAGGGCAGCTGAGCCCAGTGGGCTGCTTTGGAGAGAAGGCAGAGTGGGGTGTGAGGCCACCAAGCAGCCTTTCTACAGGTATCTGCTGTGGGCAGACACTTTGCCAGGGGACTGAATTGTGCTCTTCTGTGGGCTGTCCTGAGTTAGATCTGTTCCTGGTGATCTGCTTCTGGGTACATCTGGTCCTACTTGATGGCCAGAATCTGCTTTGGGGGAAAGCCAGACATGGCTTTGACTTTTCTTGCAGGGGGAATGGAGTGAGGCCCCATCTTTTCTACTCATTTCTTAAAGTGGAGATCACAACAGTACCTGCAGGATTAGTTATGAGGATGATTGAGAAGAAATGCTCTGTGAAGTCAGGGATTGGCCCACAGTCCATGCTCCATAAATGCAGGTTGTGGCTTTGTCACTGTAACCAGTGCCACTTGGTCTGAGCTCTGTGCTGTTCTTTAGCAGGTGCCTCCAAACCTCCTTTCTCCCTCCTCCTCCTCCTCCAACTCCTCCTCCTCCTCTCCTGTCCTTGGCAGAATTACTGCAGGACTCCATGCACATTCCTCCTCAGCCTGAGCATGACCCGTGGGTAGCAAAGTCAGCCCTGCAGCCTCCCTTCTGCCTCCAGGCCAAGGCCTCCCAGACAGCCACCAATCCACCACTTGCTGCTGCCCCCATAGCCCAGACACACCATGAACAAATTGTGTGAAGGGTCTGAAACAAACCAGACAACCCTGAGCAAATGCTCAGCTGCAGCAGACCCCATTCGTGTCCACGCTGCCAGGCCCTGAAGTCAGATGGTCCAGTGCAAACCCTGCCTTCATCACTTACTATCCACGGAGCTCTGAGCAGATGCCATCACCTCTGTGCATAGGTCCCTCATTTTGAAAGCAGGACTGACAACCCTTGTCCTCCAGGTTTGGGGCGCATTGACTGAGACAGTCTGTGTGGAGCCCTCTGCTGTGGAGTGAGCACCGTGGCCGTTACCTAGGTTACCCCTGTGCCCCACAGTAAGGGCATCGGTGCTGTGACTCTGAGAACTCAGTTCCTTAGCTCTAGGAATGCCAGCTGGGGCCTCTGCTTCTGACCCCACCTCACACCGCCTGTGGCTCTTCTGCTTCCACAGCTGAGCTGTTCATGGAGCAGAGACACCTGAAGGAGGCAGGCTTCTGCATCCAAGAGGCAGCTGGCCTCTTCCCTACCTCTCACTCGGTGCTCTATATGCGGGGCCGCCTGGCTGAGGTGAAGGGCAGCCTGGAGGAGGCCAGGCAGCTGTACCAGGAGGCACTCACGGTGAACCCGGACAGCACACGCATCATGCACAGCCTGGTGAGTCAGCTCTGCCCCTCCCCTGGCCCTGCCATGTACCTGTCCCTTGCTGGTTCTCTTCCCTCATGTCTGTCCCCTGGCGTCTGGGAGGCGGGGTGGCTCCCTCCTGCCGCACTGGGAGAGACTGCTCTCTGCATCTGCATTGATGCAAAGATCTAGAAGGGTATTTTTTATGGCTTCCTTTTTGTCATAAGGCAGTGTTCTAGCCCCAAAGAGCTTTTTCTGTTACTAGTTACCTAGCCTCATTGGAGGCCAATCTAAACCCTAAGGGTTCCCCAAATGCTTTTCCCTCTGGGGTCCTCAGGACCCTTTCTTTGGTCATTAGGCTGCCTTCTCCATTCCAGGGGAGCTCTGTGTCTCCTTGGGTTTTAGGGGTTGCTCTGGCGTGGACTGTCACACCCAGCCTGATGCAAGCCTACATTGAGTCCTAGCATTGTGTTCCACAGCCCCAGTCTGAAGGTGTAGACCCAGCATGTGGGTGCTTGACCCACCTGTGGGAAGGCCTAGGGGCTGGGAAGAAGGATGCTGGTGCTCCTGATGCATCCTTGCCACACTCTGCCTGGGTGACCATGCGCAAGTAAGGCACCTTCTCTAAGCCTCAGCTGTACTTATCCAGCCAGTGGGGACACTGGTCCTGGAACGTCACTGAATACCTGCTCTGACAGGTGGTGTGGTGGGCAGTTTCCCCTGCTGTCCTTACTGCTCCCAGAGAGTAGGTATCAGGGCAAATGTACTAATCTAAAAGCCTGCATATGCTCTAGTGATTTTTGAAGGATTGTTTTGGAGCCCATGGTTAGCAACAGTCTTCTGTCAGGGTGTGGGTTCCACTTCAGATGTCCCTTTGCCAGTAGTTTGAGAATGGCATGAGGGTATCCCTGACATCTGCCACGCAGAGAACACGGAAGTTTTGGGAGAATGGTTTCAGGTGGCTGAAAAGGTCTGATTTGTCCATGAGTAGAGCTGTAAAGAGTTGGCTTTCAAGCTATAACTCTTAGTGTAATCTCATGCATACTCAGTGATCGTGTGGTGAGGATTTTGCCAAGAGAATGGAAGCCTCACTTGGGAGAGGTGCTGGACCAAGTCATCTTTAAAAGGTCCTCTCCAGCCCTTAGCACCCTTGACTACAGAATAGAACGAGATTCCCAGCTCTGCTATTATTCCTGCTGCCTGATTTCCTCAAAAATTTCTGACTTAGGCCCATGTGAATGTTGAGCCCCTTTCAAGAATGCCTGTAAGTCTTCCACCCCAGCCATGATTTCTTTCAAGTGGCTCCTGTCGCCCTCCATTTGGTTCAGTAAATGTTTGGTTTTTTTGTAGACACATCCTCTTTCCTCCTAGAATTCAGCATTTGCTTGTCTGATAAATGCCTCGCCAGAGGTCACATCCAGAAACTTGATTAGGGAGGCGAAAGGGAGGATGTGGGCTGCCATCAGGCCCGCGGCCAGGCAGAGATGTCTGCCTGCCACTGTGTTCATGGTTATGAGCCTGCAGGCTTGGCTCTTAAAACCCTAGAAAATCCAATAACAAGTACAATTTTGAAGTAACAGTGTACCATTTTTCATTTATGCTTATTATTGTTTGTAGCTATTTTCCTGAAATTGAAGCAGTTTCCAAGGGTGGGTTTCCATGGTGACAGAATAGCCGTCCAGAGTAGCTCCCTGCAGATGTTACTGAAATGGTCCCTTTTCTCTTCCTGGTGTGTCTTGCCAATTTGATGAAATTGGAGCAAGCCAGAGCCAGGCCTACCCCCTTTTAAAGTTACCAGCAACCAGAGGGGTAGTCAGCTCCTGCGTGGGCAGCCTGTCACCTTTCCACATGCTTTGTTCCTGCCAGCTTCCCACACATGTGCATAAAGAATAGCAAATCTCAAGCCTGAGAAAGATTTACCAAGCATATTTTATTAAAGACATGGAAACACTTTGGCATGTTGATCTCCAGTGTTCCCCCATCTAAGTGTCTTCCTTATACTTGCTTAGGACTTAGGACATCTGGGATCTAATCCTGGCTCTGACCTTGATGCACTCTGGTGACTTGGGAAAGCACTTGACTTCCATGCTACTTGTGTCTCCTTTTGTAAATGGATAATATCTTCCTTGTTTCTAGGCCATAATATTGCTCTAACCAAATGAGATGTGCATGTGAAAGTTTACAGTGCAGTAACAAAGGAGACAAAGGTGCATATACACCACTGTTCTCCATTCCCTCCCAGTGACAAACATTGCTAATCAATCACGTCAGTTCTTCCCCACTTAGCATGATGTGACATGACGGGAACTACTACCAGGCAGTCAGAGTCAGCTTGACATTTATAAGGCAGAGTCATTATAAAAGTAGTCAGTAGGCAGTGAGAGGCACATTAGCTGTCTCAGCCTCTGTGAACTCTGGAAGTTGGTATATCCTTGGAGAAGTATGCAGAGGAACTGGTATCATCTCCCCCACACCCACCCAGGACGACATTGCCAAGGCAGGTCCCAGGGAAGAAATCCTGGCCTTACCACACCATTGCAGCTCTATGAGGACTCTGGTCCCTGATGGTACGAGAGGAAGGAGGGCTGTCTGTCCCCTGGAAGCCCAGCCACCCACAGCTCTGGGCTGGAAGCACTTGAATCATCCTATGAGCACTCCAAGGTCGTGGGTGAACCCCACTCCCTGGGGTCTGGGAAGAGCAGGGTGGAGGTATTCCTGGCGTGCTGCCTGACAGATGCCAGAGACTAAAGAAAGCCCACAGGATGGGAAAGGCTTTGTTTTCAGGAGCCAAGCTGCAGGCCTAAGAACATAAACTTTGGCCCGTGAGCATGTTCTCTGCCTGCCTGCCCCGGATGCTGTGGGGGATGTTTCCCTGCTTCCAGCTCTACCCTGGCCCAGCTTGACTCTTCTACCAGACCAGGCACAAAGGAGCTACACTGGCCATTCTCACTGCCGCAGGGTCCAGAGGAGACTGTCCATTGATCCCTGGTCCTGTGGGCCACCCCTACATGGGGCTCAGTAGCTCTCTGCAAGTAGAAATTGAGTCACAGGAGCAGGTCCTGACAGTCTCTGCATTAGGCCTTCTCTAGGCCACCTGAAACCCCCTCTCCTGGAACACTAAGGATGCAATTCACAGGCAGAAGACTAGTCAAGAAGGGGGAAGCCTGACCCTTACCTGCCTGCCCTTGTGGAGCATGGGAAGGGAACCAGGGTTCTCCCCAAGATCAGGGGAGGAGTCGCCCCATTGGAGGGAGCCCAAGGGCCTGTCTGAAAAGTGACCCAAGGCAGCCCACAGTTGTGTCCGTGTCCGCGTGCCTTTCCATCCTGTCACTTCGCAGGACCCCTTGATGCCAGGTAGCTCCAAGAGGGATAGGGTGCCTTGGCAAGCCAGGGCACCGAGGCAGGGTCTGATGGACGTATCTTTGAGTTCCCTCCTGGGTCCTCGAGGTCACCTGAACACAGTGTGAAGCTCTTGCTCTGGTGGTTCACAGGCAGAAATGAGAGACCCCGTGGGATGGTTCCTAGAGCAGAGAAGAAAAACTAATTTTCCCTTTCTCTTTCTGAGGTCTTGAATCCAACCCCTGTTAATAAAAGAGAAAAATGGTGAGGTGTATTAACATGTACCCCTCACATACATGACAGTGAGTAGCTCTCAGAGGTAGCTTGGAACTCCCACTTAGACAGCATCTTCACCAAAGAACAGTGCCGTCACAGAGAAGGAACGAGACAAAAGTGACCGACCTCGAGTCTCCAGGGGTGGCAGATTATGGCAAGGCCAATGAATGGGTGGACATTTGCTATATAGATTCCTATGGTGCGGTCCTTGGGCATATAAGCATCCACAGTCTCGGTGATGCATCACTTTTGTCCCCCCTTGTAAATTTTACAAGTGTCCTGCTTTTAGGCAAATGGAGAATGAGAGCTTTTCTTGTATCTGCTTTTTTTTGGTACCAGGATCAAACTCAGGTCCTTGCGGAGGCAGGCCACAGAACCACTGAGCCAAATCCCCGGCCCTTCTTATACCTGCTTGATGGTCATCAGCTCAAAACAGTCCTGTTCAGAAGGTGCCATCTTTTGGAGTACATGCTCTGCCACCTTTCAGTGCTACCATAGAAGGCCCCAACCCAGACCTCAGACAGACCCCTGCCCTCAGCTTGGCTAGGGATAGCACATGTTTTGGTGCAGGGACAACTTGAAGCCCTTGGGCATGAGTGAGCCAGTGAGGTCTCTCTGGATGGCACCTGCACTCCTCCCCAAGGACAGGCTCTGGAAGGATGGGGCTTTATGCTTTCTTCCTGAGGACGAGCTGCAGGCTGTCCCAGAGCTCTCTTTCCTGACCGTCACAGCAGCACCCTGCACATGCCTTGTGATATAACCCCAAGTGGCAGTTTCTGAAGCAGTACTGGACACAGGACAGCCTCCCGTGTCTTCACATGCCCTGGGAAGGTAGGGAGACTGTTGCAGTCACCTTTGCTTCCTTAGTGACAGCATGGCAGCATGGAACTTGTTCCCTTGTCTTCCTCTCAGTCTCAGTGTTCATTGCCTGCCTTGTTCCTTAGAGGGTTTAGGGAACCAGAGCATGGGATGGCACATTAACTTCTCATTTGCTTTACTGAAGCTCCCCAGGGAGACACCTGTGTCACTGAAGCCTGGGGCTCTGGATTGGGCTTTCAGGTGCCACGCGGATGCAGCAAAAGGGCCAGGTTTCTGAGGCCAGAGAGGTAGGCTTGCAGTAGAGCTTGTCCAGCACCCCTCTCTGGCCCTCTTCAGTGGGACATGAGGGCTGACAGACCTCAGACAGATGGACAGCCCTGCCTGCCTTCAAATTATGAAGGTGCTTGGGCACTACTTCCCCAATGGGCCAGCATTTTCTTCTGTAAATGGGGATAATAACTTAGACTCCTATGAACTCAGAGGCCTCAGATGAACTGAACACTGACAAGAGAAGTCAGTATTGGCAAATCTGTCACCGTTCACATAGAAGGCTTTATGGTGAATAGGCTGAGCCTCACCTTGGACAGGGGAATTTCCAC